GTCTTCTGACACAAGGTCAGGAACGTTTGAGGAGTTGTTTGACGCGTGTGTTTCCGCGACCTGAAAGCAGAAGCGGCCATGGAAGATGATGATGATGCGCAGAACTGGGAACGTTGCAGTCGGCGCGACCCAAATGGAGAAGGAGCAAATGAGTGTATCTGACCGACTTAAAAATTCTTTCACGCTTCCAGGCCCTTAACAATAATATATGCATATGTTGCATGTTACTTTTTGACTTTTTGAGATTTCTTTTGAGGTGTGGCGGCAATCTAGGTCGTAACGTAACATCTTCGTACGGCTTTGGGTGTTCTGCCCAAATCGAACCTTGGCGGTGAAGTCGCAGAGAGCGAACAGGTTCAAAGTGCGAGGTCCCACGGACTGATACAGCTAGCGCAAAAGACTTCTTTTTTATGGCCAGATATGGAGAAAAGTAATTAATCTTGGCCTGGCCAACTTAAGAGGCAGTAATATCACGGGTAAATGGTCAGATCAATCAATGGGTCACAGTTGCAATGGTGACGACAAGCGTCCAGACGAGATTCACAGGATATTCCCGTGGCAAAAGAACGTGAAAGAAGCGGATAAGTCAAACCGGATAAAGTACCGGTTGATTCGACATTATTGAGTACCTGGTGTGAAATGACTCATTGTCAATAAAGCGTGCTCGCTTGCGGACGTTGGGAGTAACAGAAAAATTTTCTGGGGTGAACTAATAAATACGTAAATGACGGTTTCATGAATTGACTGAGTGGTTAAATTGAGAAAACCATTATCGTCCCAAAATTACTAATAAACAAATGAAGGTATAAATGAATAAGTATTTAAAAGAACGATCGTAATAATGAGTGACACCTCTATGTATACAGTGAACAAATGAATCAGTCAACCTATGAATAAATGAATGTAAGAATGAATGAGAATGAAGGAAAAATACACACTGCTGCTTCTCAAAACAAACAGTTGAAAAATGGCAAGTAGTCGCTAGCGAAAGAACTATCACCACTCCATTCGGCAATTTTATTTCGTATTAAATTACAAAATTTATGGTAATGCAGTTTGATGCATCGGCTATGCTAGTATGCTTTGACTGATCTGTTTGCTGATTATATCATTAGCACAGACAAAGCCCACTCTCATAAATTCATCGTTGGTATTCCGCATTTTTCTGGTGAGCAAGAACGCTACACAGCAGAGAATCAAATGTCAGCACATATTGCGATGGAGTGTGTTTCTCATAACCCTGAACAGCTGTTATGAATATTAAACAGCCGGTTAACAAAGTTTTGTTTCATCTAGTCTCTGACCGGAAAATGAGAGCTGGGAACTGTTGGGCACGATTTTACGTGCACTGGGCATGGGCAATGATTTTTGAGCACTGTGAGTTGTAAAATTATGCTGCCTCGCTGATCTCTAATGCGAAGTTATTGATCAGTAATGTCGTAAAATATTGTAGGTAAGTGATTACTTCATCATAGGATATTCCTGATTCTATCAAGTATAGTGAGGTTCGATTATCTGTCTAAAAGTGATGGCAGATGAGTGACCCTGACACGAATTCGAACCAATTTTGTTTATACTATGAGCTTGAGGCTCGAATCCATGCCCTGCACAGTGAGAAGTCACAGTCGATGAGAAGAATGAGATGTTATACACGATGTTATACGTCAGATATTAATGCATTGGCAAAGAGAATAGAAGATCCGGACAACGCCTACGGTATGATATCAATAGCAGACGATTCAGTAAAGTATAAGTCATTAAACTTTCGCGAAATAATATTTCCCAGATTTGTATGCTATGTCAACATTTTTCTAAAAACCAGTGATGGCATTTTATAGTTCAAATATGCCCATATCAAAAGAATAAATTAAAAACAGGCTAACTGAACGCTACGGTTGAACACACGTTTCTGAGCGTAGCAAACGTCGTTGAAAGACGATCAAACGCACACATGTGTGAACCACAGGGACAGTCGAGCAAATCACGTCTGTGTGGAAAACAGCTTACGAGCAGTCTTCATAAGGACAACGCAGGTGGACATCGCTCGAAGGACGTTATTTCCACACAAC